AAAGAAGAAAATTATTCATATGTATAATTTCAAGATAGCAACGTTAACATTTAACTCAATTTCTTGTTTTTATGTACCTGTGAGCCATTTGAAACAGAAGTGATTGATGAAAATTCTTGCTCTGACATTACTGAAATTTGGGAGCTGTTTTTGGATGAATGGTCAGGTGATTCTGAGGTGGGCAGGGGCCTTTTGGGGATTTCATGAAGAACAAGCATGGATCTTTTTGAGAAGAGGATAACATGGTGAAACCATAGACTGTCCATGGCTCTCAACAGGCATATCTCAGAGGTTTTTGCTGCCATCAAATCTAATATATTTGTTTTTGGGGGGTTCTCTTATTAGTTTTTTAGTTGTGTGTTTGTAGTTTCTGGGTTTACAGTGAAAGAGGTAACTGATGAAATTGTGAGAAAAACATGCTATTTATTTATTTTTGTGNGATAGGTGTGGTCATGAGTAGGGAAATACTCTTCCCCACATATTTCACATGCCCATAAACAAATTTTTGGCCAAGTCTATAAAGAAATGTGATAAGAACAAGATTCTTTATGTGACGTGTTGTTTGTGGTCCTTTAATTGTGATAAGTCATTGTGACCAAACTATGTAACAGGACACTGATTTTGAGTGATCATGCATGACATCATAGGATCCCCAAATGGTTGCACCATCTTTTATAACTTTGTCGGTGAATTTCACTCATTGGCACTGAATAGAGTTTTGAGCCATTGGATCAATACAATACGGATATGGGTGTATTTACATTTTACATACATGTTATCCGATGGCTCAAATCTCGGTATGTGCAGTTAGGGTTGAATGAACCATTTTTGTATTCAATCTGAGCCATTGGATCAACATATACTAGTATGCTGAGCCTAAGTGACAGATTCGGGAATCCTATGTAGCAAAATTTCATGCTTCATTATTTAGCTTGAATAAATTTTAATTTACTTTCAATCCAAAAATAATTAGGTTTGGGTTATCCATAAATATGTTGATTATTTATGATTATTTTACATGTATTAATTACATTGTAATATCATTTCCTATTATAACTATTGAATTGTAAATATATTTTAAAAGTTAATAACTTTTGTATTTTTTTTTATCAATTTTACTTATATAATATATCAAATTAACTATCTCTTGATGTGTTTCGATTTTATTGTATTTTTAAAATAAATAAATTACATTCATCTTTTTAATAATAATAAAATTATTTATTAATATTACTTAGAAAAATTAAATTATTTATCAATTAATATATTTATATTTAAAATAGTTATATGATATAAGTTAGAAAAATTATTATAATATAACACATGTAAGTCGCACAAGTAATAAGTGTCATTCTAAATTATATAATCATATATTTTTTGTAAAAAAAATTTAAATTTTAAAACATTTTCATCATTACTTTTAAAATTTAAAAATAACTTTTTTAACAAGCACCCGTCTAATATACGGTATTTGTACTAGTTATTATCTTAATTGATGATTAAGCAAGCTACATCGCTTTCAATGAGTAGTAAATTTTTAGATAATTGTAATTGCTTTCATCAAGTTGGGCATTTGGTCTAGTGGTATGATTCTCGCTTAGGGTGCGAGAGGTCCCGAGTTCAATTCTCGGAATGCCCCATTTTTTTAACTGTTTTTTTTTTTTTAAAAATCTTAAAATGTGGGCTTTAATATTCAGCCCATATATGAGGTGGGACCTGAAAGAGCCCAAATCTCATGTGATCTTGTATTATATTTATTTATCCTCTGGAAAACGGAAGTCTTCTTGGAAATATTAGCATAAGGTTTTCATTTAGTCCAAATTCAACAAATTCAAATATATTCTCCAAAAGACAAAAATAAGGAAATCTTCTTTACAGAAGATTTTCATTTTGGGAAAGATTGTCCACTATTTGGGAAAAAGTCAAGGAGGATATTCCTGTAATTTTACACACAATGGTCATTGAACCAAACATGAAACACCAATAATTATACTTATTATAAATAACTCCTTAATCGAATTTGATTTGTTTTTTTCTCAATAGTAACCTGTTTTGAACCATAAATTCTTGTCTGAGGTGATATAATCATCATATACTGACTCATATTACTCAGAAATGTAAGTTTTGCACTCATTTGGATATATCCACAATGATATGAATAATCATCAAACCATCTGAACATTAAAGGACATAATAATAATGTAGCTCATAAGTTGGTCCTAAAAAATGAAAAAATGATAATAATAATAAAATCGAATCCATCTTAAATAGCCTGTCCAATAATCGCGACAATCGTTAATAAGATGGCGTAATTTTACGCACTAATGTCGACCCGCAAAAAATTTTAAAAAAATAATATTAGGTAGTAAGATTGTTGTCACTTCTCCTTGCTTGCAGATTTCTTGCAGATTGGACACAAATTCTTCATTGACAGCCATTTTCTAATACAGCCCACATGAAAATCATGGCCACATGTCAAAATTCCCAAGTCATCCATGTTTTTGTATTCCTCCTGTTAGTTACCAAAATCACACACTAATTAGGAACTTGCACTATACAAGAATGAGAAAAGGAAAAAAAAAAAGAAAAAAAAAAGGAAAAACGAGACTTCTCGAATGTCCAATGCGAATGCATAAGCTATAACTAAGATAATGGGTGCGAATTTGAAATTTCGAATAACTATGAGGACTCACCAGACAAATAACACATCTTCCATCGTCTTCAGCTTGCTCGGACGAACATAATATTGACTCGGTCAAACATTTCGAAATCAGATCATTAGACAAACCAGTGTTTACACTTCCAATCCTCTCTCCAAGTAGAAGTAGCTCCTGTTCAAAAGCCAATTTGTTTTACTCGAAATACATTGATTCAGGAGAAAACATAGTACACAGTCTTTTATTTATTTATTTATTTTTTAATATTTTCAATCAGAGTAATGGAAAAATATGAGGAAAAGGAGTGTTAGTGGACCTCATAGCTCATGTTATCGACATCGAGTCTCATGTCCCTGTGTTGATCAAAGGGATTATTTGATCCATAAATTGCAGAACGGTTCACGACTAATCGGCCCTGAAAATAAAGCAGCAATTTGCAAGTGAAAAAATTTGGAGATAGACTAGTGTATATTTTTAGTGTATTTGTTATAAATGTTCGATTGAAGGATCTTCCCTCGACATAATAATGGTTATACAAAAATTTAAACTAAGAACTGAAGCATTAATTTCAGGCATATATATCCCTTCCTATATAGAAATGCAGAGTTTTCCCGAACTTATGCGAAAAACCTTCACAGGAAAGAAACTGATAAAAAATTACCAACCATTTACTCTCTCCCTTTTACCTGATGACAACAGAAAATCTAATG